CTGCTCCAACATTGATCAATAAGTAGCGATGGGTGTCTGCCCTCGGTGCAAGTGAACCAAACACTCTGCGGTGGTCTATGTTCTTCCTCAATGTAAGTGTGTGTATGTGCGCGCGCAGTGATATATCAGGCGATCAAACGTGATGTCTACAACCGAACTAAAAGGTTCGAGGTTACAACAACGGATCAACATCATGGCGCAAGGGTCTCCGACCCATAAGTGCTCCGTTCTTCTTGTAACGCAAGTCTGAGCCCGAAGAAGATCAGCACAGTGCACAGGCTCTGTAGCACCGGCGAGGATCCTGAAATGCTTTGAATGGGTAAATTTTTAACTCCAAATTTTGCCCGGGCAGCGCCGTTATGCTACTCTTTTCGATTTCCAACTGCAAAAGGGATTTTTTACGTGCGCAACAATGCACACGGGCGTCCGAACTCACTACCCAGAGACCAGGTGGAATTACTAGAAGTCCCCGTGAAAAAAATCCCAGCCCTTACCTGGGATCGAACCCGGAACCTCTAGCACTCGAGCGGACACCATGCATCGAGACCACGCAGCCCCCTTCGAACTAAAAGAACTACGATAACAGTGGATACCTGCTTCTTCTTCTTCTTAGCGTTGACATGCTGAGAACTCAGGCGGAAAGTCATGACTGTTCGTCCATTCTAGGATAGAGGAACAGTGCTGGGTTGCCACTAACAGATTACAGGACCCCCACACACAAACACACGAAAAGGCTGGAGTTGTGAACAAAGTTTGCATGGGGGGGGGGGGTCGGAAAGGCTAACTGCAGTTAGCATCCCTCGTTAGACCATACAGTCGCAGACTGACAAGTGCAGGACACAACCTGCTGGCTGTATGTGTGTGTGTGTGTGCATGTGTGTTTGTGGTGTCCCGCGTGTGAGGGCATGCGAGATAGAAAGACAGACAGACAGATAGACAGACAGACAGACAGACAGACAGGCACAGACAGACAGACACATATAGTTCACACTGGTACCCTGAAGCTGGCGGCCACAGATTTGTAATTGACTTCACAGACACTTAACGTGCCTGCAGCAGACCGTACACTTCTACTTGTTTATCGCATACACTTTACATTTTAGAAAACCTATAAAGTTTTACAAGTGTATCCCATACCGGTGATACGCCTGAGCCGATGTATTATATTTGCATGTCCTGTAAAGTAGATTTTCTCAGTAAGATGCAAATCTTCGAAACGCCGGCCATAACAGCTTGGCTCTGTCAAATCAAAAGTTCAAATTGTATTTTGATCTCGCTGCTTACGGCCACTCATCCATTTCTTTACGGTGTCGCCTGAAACGGTGGCTCTGCATCACAGCATGGCACAGCATTCTTTCGTTTCTTGTCTGGGTTCCTTACTGTGGAGACAACGGAAACAGACCCATTGCCTTCCCTTCAAGCATATCGCAGGAGTCAGAGACTAACTGGTGGCATCCTCCGGCGTCGGAGTAAATCTGCATACAAATAAGCTATATCTGTAAAACGGATGTGCATGCAACACACGACCTGGAACAAGACGTAAGTCCAGAAGTGGACGAACAGCCAGTACTACCAGCAGGGGTTTAAACCCGGCAGGCGCGAAGAAGAAGAAGAAGGAGAAGAAGAAGAAAAAGGAGGAGAAGAAGAAGAAGAAAAGCAGAGGAGGAGGAGGAGAAGAGAAGAAGAAGAAGAAGAAGAAGAAGAAGAAGAAGAAGAAGAAGAAGAAGAAGAAGAAGAAGAAGAAGAAGAAGAAGAAGAAGAAGAAGTGGCAGGAGTAGCAGGAGGAAGAGGAGGAGAAGAAGAGGACGAGTAGGAGAAGAAGAAGAAGAAGAAGAAGAAGAAGAAGAAGAGAAAGAAGTAGCAGCAGTAGCAGGAGAAGAAGAAGACGAGAAAGATCTCTTTCTGATTTATTCGGACAGACAAGTTCTTGTGATGGATGAATCTGGTTCTCTTTTAGTTTCATACAACACTGAGTATGATGTTGACTCACTGGGCCATTATTCCCTTCTTAATGGGTTGTACAGACTTTTGCAAGACATGTTCTGTGTTGTGCACATGCAGCCCACATAACATCATCATGCTGTACAGTTATACATAAAGCAGGGCTCAGTCGTTTCCACCATTCCATTTTATTCTGTGCAATCATATACATGTCATGGGCGGAATCGAGTCCGCCGCGCTTGGCCCTCTCTCAAATACGTTTGCCTTTGGTTTCTCTTGGACGTCCACTTTTTCTCAATCCATCTGTTTCTTTATTTATGTACATATCCTGCACGATGAGACGGACACGACATGATCGGACCGACCGACAGACGCATGAGACATAAAATACTAGCACCAAACACACCACGCAATGAAACAGCAACACGACTTTTGCAGCCTGATCGTTTGCGGAGTGGGTCTATCCAGGTCCGGCTGTATATAAATAGAGAAGGCCGTGGTCTATCCTTGTTTCTTAATACACGAGACCCCAAAAACCCACACGGGGAAGCCTGCCGGATTAACGCCTCCAGAAGGAGGATCAAAACCAATACAAATCGAGGAAACCCCGTTAAACATTACAGCAACACAGCATAGTTATACTGGGGCCACACAAAACGGTTACAAAGTTAACCCGTAGTCCCCAAGCGGGTGGGTGCTTTAAACTGTCTGACAGCCAAAATCAAAGGTCAGGGCAGATCCTATACTTAACACATTACCTTGCAAACCCGGCCATATCGCGACCACATTCCTGGCTTGGACACAATCGCAAACAGTCTTGCCTATGCGATATCTACCGCCCAAAGCTTCAACAAGCCTACCTCACCGAATCAAATAATGCTGGACAGCAAATTGTTGCCTCTGATGGTTACCACTAATCAAGACGAGGCTCCGGCAGAGTTTGTCGCGGGCGGAAATGGGCTGATGAAATATTGATTCTTGGAAAGCAATCTGGGTGAATTTCTACGATCAGGAAGTGGGGGAGCGCATCAATGGGGCGGGCGGAGGTAATATCAAATTGCTTTCACGAGTCCATTTGGAAATGCTTATCTAATTAACATAATTTGTCAAAGGTAAGCGGCCGGCCGTAGCAGGGTTCCGTAAGGTAGTTACAACCAACAGAAAGGAAAAAAGAAATAATTTCATGAAATCAATCTCACCTTATACGAGTCAATAAACCCAACGGTGCCACCTCAACACAATCATATACCAGGGAAGAGGTGCATTTACAGGCCAAATTTAGCATATATATATATATATATATATATATATATATATATATATATATATATATATATATATATACACCTATATATATATATATATATATATATATATATATATATATATACACACACACACACACACATATATACACACACATATACACACACACATATTTCACACACACACACATATATATGTATATATATATATATAATTTGTGTGTGTGGGTGGGGCTGGTGTTAGCGCCAAGACGGACTTGTAACGTCTGCAACGCCCATTGCCAAATAAAACTGCATTATTTTAATATACTATTTATTACAAACACGCACTCCAGAACTACAGCGAGAAGAACGGTCGCTGCACGCTTACAACGTTGACGCAAATGTTGCTTTTCATAACACTCAGTTACTAGTACTACTATGCTAGCTGTGCACTCATACTCTAAACAAATATCATGCCATACCCTCTTCCATGGAATCTTGTGGCTACATTCAATGGTATCTAGTATAAACAATACGAGTACCAAGTGAGCTCCTAGTACTTTTACCCCGACCACTTGGAAACAGATCTATCAACACAGCTTACAAACTCAGTGCAAGAACATCAGTCAGGATTCGGCCCTGACATTCACCAAATCGCCCAACATCAGTCAGGATTCGGTCATGACATTCACCAAATCGCCCAACATCAGTCAGGATTCGGCCATGACATTCACCAAATCGCCCAACATCAGTCAGGATTCGGCCCTGACATTCACCAAATCGCCCAACATAAGTCAGGATTCGGCCCTGACATTCACCAAATCGCCCAACATCAGTCAGGATTCGGCCCTGACATTCACCAAATCACCCAACATCAGTCAGGATTCGGCCCTGACATTCACCAAATCGCCCAACATCAGTCAGGATTCGGCCCTGACATTCACCAAATCGCCCAACATCAGTCAGGATTCGGCCCTGACATTCACCAAATCGCCCAACATCAGTCAGGATTCGGCCCTGACATTCACCAAATCGCCCAACATCAGTCAGGATTCGGCCCTGACATTCACCAAATCGCCCAACATCAGTCAGGATTCGGTCCTGACATTCACCAAATCTATTCTAGAGGCTGACACAGGGACCGTTACATCAAGGGCAGCTTAACGGTCAGTTAGCCAATCGCTCACCCCCAATCCTTTCTGGACTATCATATGGTGAGTTAAGTAAAGGACATCTTAATGGTCAGTTAGCCAATCGCTCACCCCCTATTCCATTCCGTACTATCATATGATGAGTTTAGTAAAGGAGAGCTTAACGGTCAGTTAGCCAATATCTCACCCCCAATCCTTTCTGGACTATCATACAGTGAGCAAGTACCTTTTTCCGAGCCATTAGGCGTATTGGACATATAGGGCTAGATCTATATTTTATTGACCAATCGGAACTCAGTGGGTGATGTGGTCGCCTTTACTGCCCAGGACTTTACCTGGTACCCATTTAAGGCTGGGTCGTCCTAGCCCTCAAGGCCATTTTGAAAAAAAAAAGTAAGGTTTCATCAGGACCTGAACTCAACGACTTTCAGATTTGCAGGCGAGCCTCCAAGCCGCTACACCTCGGCGGCTCCATGGACTATCATATACCCCATCTGTTACCAAGAGGGCCATAAAGTGTCCACAACAGAGTGAGGACACTGATGAAACCTGGGTGGCATTCGCGGAAACACAAACACAGTACGACAGGCAGAGTTTCCAGACACAAAAAACAGGAGAGAGAGAGAGACAATGACAGACAGACGCACAGATAAATACTCACTATTGAGCACAGTCAATAAGCTGGTACTCATTTGACCGTTCAAATGCAGTTTGTACTCCTTTATCCTTCCACAAAATCTCTGTGTACTCATAGAATATCTGAAATAAGACAAACGTCACTTTTATGTCAGGACTGAAGCTCACCACCCAAGGTGCACACATCAGGCAGACAGTAAAAAAAAAAAAATTTTTTTTTTAATTTTAAAAAAGACGAAAATAGTATTACATTTAAACCTGAAAAATCCACTAGGGAAAAAAACAGAAAGAAAAAAAAAACAGCAAACAGGTAGCATGGGTAGGGTAAAAAAAAAATTATTACTTCTTCTTCCTATTTGTGTCCAACGGCTGGAAACTAGGCAGAAATTTTTGGTGGGCTGTCCACTTCTGGACTGTGGTCTTGTTCCATAACAGTTTTTTTTTTTTTTTTATAGTGCTAAATTATCTGTATGTAGACTGTTGGTTTGTGCAGCCGCACTCCGACTTCCAAGAAAACTAAAAAGTTGCCTTTCCCAAAACGCTATTTTTTAGGGGGTGAGGAGGGGGGGGGGGGAAGGGGGGGGGAGACAGGGGATCTGTTATCCCCCCCCCCCTTCCCCCAAACAAGGACACCAGAACCCATACAGGGAAGAAAAAGCATCTGATAAAGTATAGAAGGAGGGACTGAAAGTAAAACGAGTCTAGGTTTGTAGAGAAGATGTACAAACGAAAAAGCTACTTTGCAGCGAACCGATCAAACAAACGAACTTTATTTTTAAAGCGTCATAAATTAGGTAAGCAAGCCCGTCTTACATTCGGCCCTTCCAAACACCCATCTTTCACACAGCAGTTGTATTTTAACAATAAAGCATGTTATGTTATCGTAGGAAGCTGAAATATTTTGGTCATATCAAGCGCCACGACGGATTGGAAAAAAATTATAGCAGAAGGCATGGTACCAGGAATGAGGGGCAGTTTCTTTTAGGCAGACCGTAATGAGAGCGACGTTCTGCAAAGGACCTGCTACATGATGATGATGATGTTAGTGTAATGATATACATATTATGAATATCAAGTCAAAAACAAAAGCACACACACACCCACATACACACGCAAACCCATTCACTCACTCACATACACACATAGGCACCCAATACACACATACATACACACACATCAGGACAAGCCAGCAACACAATGGTGTTAAAGCAAAATGTCCCCCAAGGAACAGTTGTGTCACCACCACACTTATTCCCAGTATATACATAAATCTAGCTCCACACAATGTGCCAGCCAGGGTGCATCCTTGCTCTGTGGTTTAGGTTTCTCCAACAAATCAACATCATGACACAAGGGTAGAAACCCATAAGTGCTCCGTTGTACTTCTAACTCAAGCCTGAGTCCGAAGAATTTCAGCGCAGTGCATGAACTCCGTAGCAGGGGCGACGATCCTGAAATACTCTGGCAGATTTTTGACTCAAATTTTTTGATTTCCAAATGCCAAGGGATTTTTTACTTAAAATTCCAGGGGAAATTCCTAAAGACCACGTGAAAAATTCCAGCCTTTACCGGGGCCTGAACCTGGGACCTCCAGCATTAAGGGCCATGCCTCAAGACCAAGCCAGGCGTCTTACGAGACTAGAATTTTTTTAGACTAGTGTTCAACTTTTTTTACACCAGAAGCCCACCAAAACAGGGGGCAATGTTTCGCGTCCCACCTGACAGCTAACCAAACGTAAATTTAGACCACAATTTATTCAAGATAACACTGCAATTTTTAGCCAATGTGACATCTGTTCAGGTAACTAGGACAGGTGGAGGTCTGGGACAGGTGGTGGTCTAGGACTCGTGGAGGTCTGGGACAAGTGTAGGTCTGGGACAAGTGTAGGTCTGGGACAGGTGGAGGTCTGGGACTGGTGGAGGTCTGGGACAGGCGGATGTCTAGGACAGGTAGAGAGGTATGGGATAGGTAGAGAGGTCTGGGACAGGTAGAGAGGTCTGGGAGAGGTAGAGAGGTCTGGGACAAGTGGAGGTCTGGGACAAGTGGAGGTCTGGGACAGATAGAGAGGTCAGGGACAGGTAGAGAGGTCTGGGACAGGTGGAGAGGTCTGGGACAGGTGGGGGTTTGGGACAGGTGGGGGTTTGGGACAGGTGGGGGTCTGGGACAGGTGGGGGTCTGGGACAGGTAGAGAGGTCTGGGACAGGTAGAGAGGTCTGGGACAGGTGGGGGTCTGGGACAGGTGTAGGTCTGGGACAGGTGTAGGTCTGGGACAAGTAGAGAGGTCTGGGACAGGTAGGGAGGTCTGGGACAGGTAGAGGTCTGGGACAGGCGGATGTCTAGGACAGGTAGAGAGGTCTGGGATAGGTAGAGAGGTCTGGAACAGGTAGAGAGGTCTTGGACAGGTAGAGAGGTCTGGGAGAGGTAGAGAGGTCTGGGACAGGTGAAGGTCTGGGACAGGTAGAGAGGTCTGAGACAGGTGGGGGTCTGGGGCAGGGGGGGGGGGTCTGGGACAGGTGTAGGTCTGGGACAGGTGGGGGTCTGGAACAGGTGGAGGTCTGGGACAGGTAGAGAGGTCTGGGACAGGTGGGGGTCTGGGACAGGTGTAGGTCTGGGACAGGTAGAGAGGTCTGGGACAGGTAGGAAGGTCTGGGACAGGTGGGGGTCTGGGACAGGCGGATGTCTAGGACAGGTAGAGAGGTCTGGGATAGGTAGAGAGGTCTGGAACAGGTAGAGAGGTCTGGGACAGGTAGAGAGGTCTGGGAGAGGTAGAGAGGTCTGGGACAGGTGGAGGTCTGGGACATGTAGAGAGGTCTGAGACAGGTGGGGGTCTGGGGCAGGGAGGGGGGGGGGGTCTGGGACAGGTGTAGGTCTGGGACTGGTAGAGAGGTCTGGGACAGGTGGAGGTCTGGGACAGGTAGAGACGTCTGGGACAGGTAGAGACGTCTGGGACAGGTAGAGAGGTCTGGGAGAGGTAGAGAGGTCTGGGAGAGGTAGAGAGGTCTGGGAGAGGTAGAGAAGTCTAAGACAGGTAGAGAAGTCTGGGACAGGTAGTGAGGTCTGGGACAGGTAGTGAGGTCTGGGACAGGTAGAGAAGTCTGGGACAGGTAGAGAAGTCTGGGAGAGGTAGAGAAGTCTGGGACAGGTAGAGAGGTCTGGGACAGGTAGAGAGGTCTATGACAGGTAGAGACGTCTGGGACAGGTAGAGACGTCTGGGAGAGGTAGAGAGGTCTGGGAGAGGTGGAGAGGTCTGGGATAGGTGGAGGTTTGGGACAGGTGGAGCACTAACAGCATTTGGGTCTATCAGCGGCAATTCATCTACGTATACATACTGGGGGGGGGGGGGGCAGTTAGGGGGGGGGATGCCTTACAGGAGTTAAAAGTTGAGGATACAAGAGATCAGGTCAAACTGAAGTGTCCAACAAAACAAAAAACACAAAAAACATGTTAAGTCAAAGTGTTTAACATGAAAAGTGACCATGCAACCAGCTTGCATTGAAGTATCCAATAATATCAACCTAAAAAGTGTTAAACTGAAATGTCCAACAAGACAAACATACAACATATTAAACTGAAATGTCCAACAACACAAACAGACACAAAACATGTTAAGCTGAAGTGTGCAATAAGAAATGAGCACACAACAAAGTAAACTGAAGTGGAGATAACACGGCGACACTCTCAGCAAAAGATAACCTGGTGACAGAGCTATGATCAACTCAACAAGGACTGGTGAAGTACAAACAGTGCAGAATCTAGCAGCAGATAGTTGCCAGGTGGCCACGGAAAACACACATCTAGAGAAACAACAAGCAGACGACATAGGTCATGGACCCTCTGCCAGCTGCTAGTGCCCTATTTTCTGTATCCTGTTTGGTGTTGTGCACAGGTTTATGAGTGGGCAGGTATTTGTGTGGGCCCTTGGTGGCACTTGTTCACCAGTGGTGTGTCTAGGATCAATCCCCAGAGCTGACACAGAGTTTGTGTCTGATCAGCACAGAACATAACTCCCAGACAGTGCTACTCTCAGAAGGGAAGATGGTGAGAGAAAGAGAGAGATTCGGGGTCTCTGTGACACAGCGGTCAATCATTTCCTTCATGTTCTGAAGGTCATTGATAGCATTTCAAACTACAGAATTCAACTAGTTTCATCTTCTTTTTTCACATTCACATACACCAGCTGTAAACTCTGGCGGAAAGTTCTGGCTGTTTGTCCAATTCTGGACTGTGGTCCTATTCCAGGACTTGAGTTGTGTGTGCACATCAGTTTTACAGATCTTGCTTAACTGTAAGCAGACTGTTGGTTCCTCGCCTCTCAGGCATGTAGCCCCAGAACCCAAATAAGAACAACTGATTTCAGACTGAGGCATCTGATTCAAGGGTTCTATTTCTGAGAAAAATTCCTGGAGGTCATCACTGGAGACACAGAGTTAGTGCTTGGAACAATACTCTCAGCAGGTACTCTACAGAGAGACAGCCAGAGCGATCAACCAAAGTTTGATGCAGTAAGATTCCGCAGACACTCGTGGCTGCGCAGCTCGCCCATCAAGAGCCTTGCACACAGCGCTAGACTCAGCTGTTTCAACAAAGACACACAGGAATCTCCTTTCACTCACAAGCTAAACAATTGGATCTGAAGGTGAACATGCAATATCAGAGTGTGAAATGAATAGCTCAACCTTTTCAGCAACTGAGCCTCACTTTGTAAATGTATACAAACTGAAGGATGCAATGGAGAAAGAGTGGTATAGTAAATGTACACTAACTGAGGGATACGATGGAGAGAGAGAGAGAGGTACAGTAAATGTATACTAACTGAGAGATACGACGGAGAGTGAGAGAAAGAGTGGTACAGTAAATGTATACTAACTGAGGGATACGATGGAGAGAGAGAGGTACAGTAAATGTATTCTGAGAGATACAACATAGAGTGGTACATTAATGTGTACTAACTGAGAGATACGATGGATAGAGAGTGATAGAGGAAACATATACTAACTGAAAGACACAATGGGGAGAGAATAGTAAGAGTAAATGTATCCTGAGAGCCACAATAGAGAAAGAGAGAGAGAGAGAGGTACAGTATATATATACTAAGAGATACAATGAAGAGTGGTACAGTAAATGTTTATAGAGAGACACAATGGAGGGAGAGTGGTACAGTAAATGTATACTAACTGAGGGATACAACATATAGAGAATGGTACAGTAAATGTATACTGAAGGATACGATGAAGAGAGAGTGGTACAGTAAATGTATACTAACTGAGAGATATGATGGACAGAGAGTGGTAGAGTAAATGTATACTAACTGAGAGACACAATAGAGAGAGAATGGTAACAGTAAATAAATACTGAGAGACACAATGAAGAGAGAGAGAGTGGTATAGTAAATGTATACTAAGAGATACAATAAGAGAGTGGTACAGTCAATGTTTACCGAGAGAAACAAAGGAGAGAAAGTGGTACAGTAAATGTATACTGAGGGATACAATGGAGAGAGAGAGTGTGGTACAGTAAATGTACACTAAGAGATGATGGACAGAGAGAGAGAGGTACAGTAAATGTATAAAAACTTAGGGATGCAATGGAGGGAGAGTGGTACAGTAAATGTATGATTACGGGGAGATACAATGGAGAAAGAGAGTGGTACAGTTAATATACAGAGAGATAAAAGGGAGAGAGTGATATAGTAAATGTAAACAAACTGAGGGATACAATGGAGAGAGAAAAAGTGGTACAGTAAATGTATACTGAAAGATACAATCGAGAGAGAGAGAGAGAGAGAGAGTGGTACAGAAATGTATGCTAACAGAGAGATACAATGGAGAGAGAGAGAGTGGAACACTAAGTAAATATAAATGGAGAGATGAAAGGGAGAGAGTGGTACAGTAAATGTATAGAAACTTAAGAATACCGAACAGCCAGCGGCTCTTGTTCAGTGTTGCCCCAACTCCGATATAACTCTGACAGTGTTGCTAGAGCTTCGACACTGTTACTGCAACTCTGAGCATGACGAGTTCTTTAAACTTTTACAGTGAAAAGTACTAAACCACCTGCTGCCAGACTGTGCCCGCTGTGATATCCCTTAGAGGCTAGAGATGGGGTTGCATTACAAATGAGGTATTGATGCTTATGTTTACTAAACACAGGATAAGAAGGAGAGAATGCTGTAGCTAATGTATGGAAGAGGCAGGAAAAGAAGTCAAGTTGTAGGAAGTAAATGATTACTGGAGACAGAAGGACAGAAAGTAGTAAGTAATCGCTTATTAGAGGAGAGTAAATGTTTATTAAATGAAGGATATAACAGAAAGTAAGTCCAAAGAGAAAAACACAAGTGTGGGGACAAAGTGTAATTATTGAGGACTTCTGACAGTCATTGCTATTGGGTACTGGTGGTCATGTCTATACACAACCTTTTATCTTGTTTACTTTCATTCAATTCTGACAAAGATAATCTTCCACAGTTCATGCTGTGTGGCACTGATGGTCATATTTATCCCCAACCTGCTGTCTCATGTACTTTCTAATCAACTCTGACACAGATGATCGCCCATGCCATGATGTCAAACTGTCCAGCATTTTCGCTGTCTCTGTCTCCCTCTGTCTCTTTTCCCCTCCAACTTTCCACTGTCAGTATGTAGCCCATATTTCTCCTTCTCTCAAAATGACCACAGAATGTAGATTGTCTACCTCACATGTGGGCAATAAGGTGTATCCCTGAGTGAATATCTTTAAGGAAATCAATCTGTTCACAGTGTTATAATTTATCTATAAAACCAGACCTCCAATGTTTCTACATAACCTTTCACTAGCTGGTCAAGTGTAATTGGGGACTAAAGGTTGGTTGCGTATCCTTTACAGGACGTTGCAGAGCCAACCCCCAACAGCCCCTGGTTGTTGTGTTGTTTTTCTAGGCAAATTTACGTCCAGTAGTTTGCCACTGCTTTCTGGACGGTCGGCTTTCTTGATACCAGAGTCGAAACCAACACAACGTGGATGGCACGCAGCTGGGATTGAACCCGGCATCCCGGCATTACGAAGCGCTCGAATCGACTTAGCCACAGAGCTGACAATTGGGGACTACAGGAAGGAAATATCAGATCACTGAGCAAAAAAGTTTTATTTTCAACTAGCCACAATGGGGAATGTTTTAATGACCGAATACATAGAGAGGAAGGGGCACTGAAGTTTGAAGTCTGAACAATGAATCAACATCATGGCACACAGGTAGAAACCCATAAATGCGCTGTTCTTCTTCTAACTCAAGTCCAAGTATGATGAAGCTCAGCACAGTGCACGGGCTCTGTGGCACCGGCGAGGATCTTGAAATGAGTAGATTTGTAACTCCAAATTTTGCAGCACCTTTAGGCTACTCTTTTCGATTTCCAAGGGATTTTTGTTACGTGAGCAACAATGCACATGGGCGTCCAATCTCACTACCCAGAGACCGGGGGAATTACTAGAAGTCCAAGTCCACGTGAAAAATTCCCAGCTCTTACCAGAGATTTAACCCGGAACCTCTAGCACTCGAGGCGGACACCATGCCTCAAGACCACTCAGCCCACTGGGCACAAACAATGTTAAGATAAAGGAAAGAGATGCAATAAAGACAGACGTGTAAGTGGAAGAGACAAACAATGTTAAGGTAAAGGAAAGAGATGCAACAAAGACAGACGTCTAAGTGGAAGAGACAAACAATGTTAAGATAAAGGAAAGAGATGCAATAAAGACAGACGTGTAAGTGGAAGAGACAAACAATGTTAAGATAAAGGAAAGAGATGCCATAAAGACAGATGTCTAAGTGGAAGAGACAAACAATGTTAAGGTAAAGGAAAGAAATGCAATAAAGACAGACGTGTAAGTGGAAGAGACAAACAATGTTAAGGTAAAGGAAAGAAATGCAATAAAGACAGATGTCTAAATGGAAGAGACAAAACAATGTTAAGGCAAAGGAAAAAAAAGCAATTAAGACAGACGTGTAAGTGGAAGAGAAACAATGTTAAGGTAAAGGAAAGAGATGCAATAAAGACAGATGTGTAAGTGGAAGAGACAAACAATGTTAAGGTAAAGGAAAGAGGTGCAATAAAGACAGACGTGTAAGTGGAAGAGACAAACAATGTTAAGGTAAAGGAAAGAGATGCAATAAAGACAGACGTGTAAGTGGAAGAGACAAACAATGTTAAGGTAAAGGAAAGAGATGCAATAAAGACAGACGTGTAAGTGGAAGAGACAAACAATGTTAAGGTAAAGGAAAGAGATGCAATAGTCTGGTAGTCTTAGTTTCAGCTTCATAGCAAACGGGTCACCCCATCTTTGCTCCGCTCCTGTGCCAACGAAAAACACGCAGAATGTTTATCACAGTATTAGAATTGCAGTTTATCTTTGATGGTAGCAGAAGTCGCCAACAGATCAGCAGTTGCCCACGCGATCAATTTTAATCACATACGGGCACCACAACACTGCATGACAGGCATCGCGCCATTTTCTGAATCTACAATTCACACCAACACGTTGGTCACAGTCGAAAAAACATTCCAAATGCAATCCGCAGCTCACAGGGTCACGCCATGCATTCCACTCAGAAGCTGGGAGACGCAACTATATCCAGTCTACAAATTGAGCAAAAACACATCGGCCACGTCCGGCAGAAGCAAAAAAATTTGCCTGTTTCGAACAGTGCCGCTGCCTAACTTCCATTTTGACCAGAAGTCCAGAGAGATGCAATAAAGACAGACGTGTAAGTGGAAGAGACAAACAATGTTAAGGTAAAAGAAAGAAATGCAATAAAGACAGACGTGTAAGTGGAAGAGACAAACAATGTTGAGGTAAAAGAAAGAAATGCAATAAAGACAGACGTGTAAGTGGAAGAGACAAACAATGTTAAGGTAAAGGAAAGAAATGCAATAAAGACAGACGTCTAAGTGGAAGAGACAAACAATATTAAGGTAAAGGAAAGAGATGCAATAAAGACAGACGTCTAAGTGGAAGAGACAAACAATATTAAGGTAAAGGAAAGAGATGCAATAAAGACAGACGTCTAAGTGGAAGAGACAAACAATATTAAGGTAAAGGAAAGAGATGCAATAAAGACAGACGTCTAAGTGGAAGAGACAAACAATATTAAGGTAAAGGAAAGAGATGCAACAAAGACAGACGTCTAAGTAGAAGAGACAAACAATATTAAGGTAAAGGAAAGAGATGCAACAAAGACAGACGTCTAAGTGGAAGAGACAAACAATATTAAGGTAAAGGAAAGAGATGCAACAAAGACAGATGTCTAAGTGGAAGAGACAAACAATGTTAAGGTAAAGGAAAGATATGCAATAAAGACAGATGTCTAAGTGGAAGAGACAAACAATGTTAAGATAAAGGAAAGAGATGCAATAAAGACAGATGTCTAAGTGGAAGAGACAAACAATATTAAGGTAAAGGAAAGAGATGCAACAAAGACAGACGTCTAAGTGGAAGAAAACAACCAGAAATGTACAACTTACTGGAGGATAATCAAAGTCTTGTTGACTGGCTTTGTCCTGAATATAATCCACCTTGGCTTTATTGCTCGGGTGTTCCAACGCTACAGGTGGGTTCAATGTGCTCATAGCACCTGTTATTGTCTGTGGACACAGCAGGAAAGACAACTTAGACAGTAACACAGACATATGACACAACAACACAGACATGTTAGTTTTCTTAGTCATCTCTTACAACTAGGCTGACCCTACGTCGAGTTCAAATCTGGACAGTAAATTTTTTTTGGTGTGCCCGGGCAGTCTCCTAGATACTCCAAAAAAATCACATTATGTCCCATTTCATTAAAATCTAGGATTAAGTTCGAGAGTAGAACATACATTTATAGTTATATCTGTAGACCTGATTAGAATACACATTTTAGATATTTTTAATGTCTGAAATGTGTTGTTGAGAATTTGGAAGCATATATTTTTTTTTTAATGGCAGTTAAAGAGCATATTTTTTACGGTTTTATTACACCATTTGTTGAGTAAGTAATTAACCCTTTCAGCATGGCAACCTAGAAATAAAACAAGAAGGGGGAAGGGGTAGGAGGGAGGGCAGGGATTAAACTGACTGGTTTTGAATGTCCCATTTTCAGATCAACATATTATAATCACGCTACTTACAACAGTGTTCTTCAACATGTGGGCTGCGGCACCCCCCCCCCCCCCCCCCGCTTTGGGCCACGAAAAAGTCCCCATAGACCGCCACATTTTTTCTGCTTAATCAAATAACAAGTTAGGGGGTAGGTGCCTTTTCCCTTCCAGTCTGTATGATAAACACCCCAAGGACCTCTGACTTGTGTGAAAAGACTAAAACCAAAAGCAGAAACTGAATGGATGTTATTGTAGCGCTTCACATATCAGAAACAACGCTCCAGCCACACATATTAAAAATTTAAGCCTCTAGGCAGCAGCAGATGTCATATTAGCTAAAAACCGTGACATCTGATTTGACAAATAAAACTGCTACTTCCATCTGTTTTTGTTTTGTATTTGTTTAACTGTCAGGTGAGCTGTGAAACACTGTCTTACAACACGCCAGGTAGGGTGCCGTGTTACCATTATTTGCTTCACATGAGAACACAAATAGGGTGATATTAAACCTGTCTCCCCCCCCCCCTCCCGAAAAGCCAGAAAACCAATACTTCCTGCTGCAGCCAATTCCCTGTAAATGAAACCTTTCCAACTTGTCAATGGAGACCTGTTTTTGAGATGTATTGTTGATTCTACTGGCTGTGTACACGTCTATATAAACATTTATGAGGTAAGGATGTAAATATATGAACTAAAGGTAGTGGGGTGGGGGGGGGGGGGGGAACTCCTTCAAACCAAATGATTTTGTTAAAGCCAAGTTGAGGTCACATTTTCCCGTAAGCCTCAGTGATGGCGATCACGCGGTCAGGGCACCAGTCACCCCATTGAGATATTTTTTTGCCCTGAGGTGTGTAGTCTATTTAATGCTTCTCTCTGTCCATGTCAACTTATTAGAAGAAGAACAGTCTATATTTCAATATTGTGATTATCATTGTAGTCGGCTCTGTGGCTAAGTCGATGCGAACGCTACGTAATGCCGGGATGCCAGGTTCGATTTCAGCTGGGGGCCATACGCCTTGCATTGGTTTCGACAGTGGTATCAAAGAAGCTGATCGTCCAGAAAGAAATGGCAAACTACTAGACATACATTTGCCTAGAAAAACCACACAACAGACAGGGGCTGTTGGGGTTGGTTCTGCAACGTCCGGTAAAGGATATGCAACTAACCTAGATTATCATTGTAAAATGCTTCAATAAATAAGTTTGTTTTTTCTACAACAGGGTCAAGAAAAGGATAATCTCTTGCCAAGTCATTCTTTTGCCCTCTCGTGTCATTTCATTGACACTTTGCATATCTGTCTCAAATTCTCTCTCTCTTTTTTTTTTCAAGGAAAGTCTTTTTCGCTGTCGCTGGCCGAGCCATGTTTTCTACCTCTTCTTTTGTTGAAGTTTGTTCCAGGTCGGCTTAATTCTTCTTCTGTGCATTCACCGGCTGTAAACTCCAGCGGAAAGTTCTGGTTGCTTATCCATTTCTGGATTTTATTCTTGATCCAGAACTTTACTTTTGCGTGCACACCCATTTTACAGATCTGGCTGATTTGTAGGCAGACTGTTGGCTCTTTGCCTCTCAGGTAGATGCATATGACTTTGAAGGAATCAGCCGAATTAGTTGACTTTTACAACATGCACAAAACACACACAAAACCAGAACTCTCCACCTGAGTTTACAGCTGGTGAATGCCAAGAAAAAGAATACTCTGCTATACTCCACATATACCCCTACCTTGCTACAGCTCCACATTTACTACTACACTGCTACAGGTCCACATATACCCCTACCTTGCTACAGCTCCACATATACTACTACACTGTTACAGCTCCACATATACTACTACACTGCTACAGCTCCATATATACTACTACACTGATACAGCTTCATACCTACTACACTGCTACAGCTTCACATATACTACTACACTGATACAGAGCCACATATACTACTACACTGCTACAGCTCCACATATAGTACTACACTGATACAGCTCCACATATACCACTACACTGCTACAGCTCCACATATACTACTACACTGCTACAGCTCCAATTATACTACTACACTGCTACAGCTCCACATCTTCTATACCACAACTCTAGAGATACCACTACAGCTGCACATAAACCACAACACTGCTACAGCTCCATTTAATAATACTACAGATCCACATATGCCACTACTTTACTACAGCTCCACATATATCACAACTTTACTACAGCTCCACATATAACACTAACTGCTACAGCTCCACATATAATTCTACAGCTAAACATATACCACTACTTTACTACAGCTCCACATATACAACTACTTTACTACACCTCCATATATACCACTACTTTACTATAGCTCCACATATAACACTACAGCTCCACATATAACACTACAGCTCCACATATACCACTTTACTACAGCTCCACATATATCACAACTTTACTACAGCTCCACATATAACACTAACTGCTACAGCTCCACATATAGCACTACAGCTTCACATATACCACTACTTTACTACAGCTACACATTTACCACTACTTTACTACAGCTCCATGTATACCACTACTTTAATACAGCTCCACATATAACACTAACTGCAACAGTTTTACATATAACACTACAGCTCCACATATATCACAACTTTACTACAGCTCCACATATAACACTAACTGCTACAGCTCCACATATAACACTGCTACAACTCCACATATAACACTAACTACTACAGCTACACATATAACACTACAGCTCCACATATAACACTACTTTACTACACATATACCACCACTACATCTTCCCATATACCATATAACACTAACTGCTACAGCTCCACATATAACACTGCTACAACTCCACATATAACACTAACTACTACAGCTCCACATATAACACTACAGCTCTACATATATCACAACTTTACTACAGCTCCACATATAACACTAACTGCTACAGCTCCACATATAACACTGCTACAACTCCACATATAACACTAACTACTACAGCTACACATATAACACTACAGCTCCACATATAACACTACTTTACTACACATATACCACCACTACATCTTCCCATATACCATCAACTCTACACCACTAAAACTTTGATATACCATCAACTATAATGATACAACTTCCTATTTACTACCAACTCTACACCGCTACAACTTTCCATATACTACCAACTCTACGACCTCCCATCTACTACCAACTCTACACCGCTACAACTTCCCATACACTACCAACTCTACGACCTCCCATATACTACCAACTCTACACCACTACAACTTCCCATTTACATAAAATCTCTGCTGCTACAAAAATCCCCATTCATTATCAACTCTACACCACCAGAACTTCCCATATATTACCACTTCTACAATTTCCCATTTTCTACCAAATCTGCACAACTACAATTTCCCACATACTACCAAAAACTATACTATTACAACTTTCCATATACTGTCAACTCTACACCGCTATAACTTACAAATAACTACCAACTGTATCGATATACTAAAACTCTACACCTCTACAACTTCCCATTTACTACAAACTCTCTACTGCTACAACTTTGTCATTTACTACCAACTCTACACCACTACAAGTTCCCATATACCACTACACTATAAAACTAAAATAATATTTAGATCAACTACTCAGAAACTATCCAACTTGTCAGATTTCAGTTGTCAGTTATCTCAAATTTAATGTCAGTTAGATGTCAGCTAGAACAATGCACTCTGAACTTTAACCCCCAAGTAGAAAAATTAACTTGTATAATCATCATTATTGTTCAGTGTTTTTGTTCTCTGGAAAGATGTATCAATTCAAAGTCTAACAGCCTCCCATTCTATACTGCAAAAAAAGGATACAGTACAGAGCATGTATCTATAGTTCAGCTTTTGAATATTTGTTGTCTGCAAGGCATGTGGGTTATGTCTGGAACCTGGGATGTCTTGCTAACTGGTGTATACAACATTTCTCTGCATTTCTTTTGTTTCTTGTTGTTCTACTACTTCTTCTGCCACAACCAACTCTTCTTCTACTAACTACCAACTACTTTACTTTGCTTTTATATTTACTTTATTCCTTTCCTTCCTCATTCACTCACTGACTGACTTATCACTTACTACTACTACTATTATAATTATTACTACTAGTATTACCACTATGACATGTCTTCCTCTATTTCTCTTTATCTCACCAGTTATTGCAATATGTCCCAGTGTTTGTCTTCTCCTGACTCGCCAAATATAATAACCTATTCACAGTTAAGTTGGAGGTCAAGTTGTTACCTCGAGCATGACAAACTAGTTCACTGAAATTGCTGACTAGCTGATCTAAATATAGACTGCCTGACCTGACAAAGTAACAAACACAATTTACATAATATAGTTGAAGATAAGAAACAGAAAGTGTAACAATAGATAAATCTGCCCGCAAGATCTGCATCAATAATTGCAATCAGTGGCTCTAATATTAACTAATTTTACAGCAGAACCAATCAATTTAGGCTAACAGTTGTTTTATGTGACAGGACATACAAGATATCTGTGTCATATGTGTGCCTTAGTATGTGTGCCTCCATATATGTGCCTTTATCTCCCACATACTATAAGGGGTGTAATTTTACTATGATGTAAAAAAAACAAAATTAGGCAAACAATAATATCACAGAGGTGTACAAAAACTATTATGGGTGTAATAATATCAACTATGGTCTACAAATCCTGCTAGAGGTGCAAAAATCCTATTACAACTGTAAAAATAATTTTAAATATGTTTTTTTTAAAACATACAGCGTAAGAATACTATTGTTTAAAAATACAATCAGAAATGTACAAATATGGTTACAGATGTGAAAATACTATTAGGGGTGTAATAGTACTAATAATACTAATGTAAAAATATTACTACAGTGTTAAAAAAATTACTAACAGTGTTACAAAAATACTATTAGAGTGGGAAAAAAACTAGTGGTGTAAAAATACTGCTACCGTGTAAAATACTGCAACAGTGTAAAAATACTACTACTCTGGTGTGAAAATGTTACTAAAGTGGTTTTTTTTAAAAAAAAAACAGTAGTGTAAAAATACTACTACAGTGCAAAAATGCTAATGTTATAATCAGTATGTTTATAAACACATAATTATTTTTACCCCAAAGTAATATTTTACACTCTCTAAGTATTAAGGAGCGTAAACTTTTTAAGCATTTCACATATATCAAACAAACAGATAACTACACACATGTTGCGCAGAAAATGAATTCTTTTTTTTTTTCCTTAGCTCCTTTGTGTCTTCTTAAAGGCTGATAGCCATCCATGCGTGTTTAAAAATGCATATGAGAGAGAGAGAGAGAGAGAGAGAGAGAGAGAGAGAGAGAGAGAGAGAGAGAGAGAGAGAGAGAGAGAGAGAGAGAAAGAGAGAGAGAAGGGCGGGGGAGTGGGGGGGGGGGGGCAGAGATATCAGAGCGGACATAAGACACAGAAAGGCAAACATTAGATTGAGAGGAAGGGACAGGCTGATATAAGAGAGAATGAGAAGCTGATGAGAAAGATCTACATGAGAGAGAGGGACTGACAGAGAGAGTGGGAGCTGATATAACAGAATAAAAAACTGAAGACAGAGGTTGACATTAGAGAGAGAGAGAGAGAGGCTGACAGACGGGTCTGTGGGGAGAGAGGCTTGATATAAAAGAGAAAAACTTGTGAGAGAGGCTAAAATAAGAGAGAAATAGAGAGAGAGAGAGAGAGAGAGAGAGAGAGAGAGAGAGAGAGAGAGAGAGAGAGAGAGAGAGAGAAAAGAGGGAAAAGCGAAAAGAAAAAGTTTAACATGAGAAATAGAGTCTGACACGTGAAAGAACGATTGAAATGAGGTAGATAGAGACTGACGTGATAGAGAGAGAGAGAGAGAGAGAGAGAGAGAGAGAGAGAGAGAGGAACAGAAAGGCTGACACATGAGAATGCAAGGCTCAGGGAAGAGTGGGAGGCTAACATAAGAGAGAATGAAAGGCTGAGGGGATAAGAGAGGTTGACACAAGAGAGATGAGGGGAGAGAGATACCTATCCTAAGAAGAGGGTGGGTCAACTTTATGTAGCAAAAGTGCAGCTGAGATGACAGCCAATGCCGACTTCAACTGCAAAGATGCCCCCTGTGCCCACAAATCTCTAGTCCCTGCTATAGAAGCCGCCCAGAGTTACCCTACAAGTTTCTACAACAGGATCTGGCAACTAGGCAGTCCGCCATATTGGAATAATGAACCTATCCCAGAGGGAACACAGGGTCAACATAAACAAGCACTCACCAGAATAGCATCCCGTAAATTTTTCTTAATGTCTTCAATTTTTTGCTTCCTCTCTCTGCAATTGAAACAAACAAGGTAACAATGAATCAGTTGGTTTTTCAAGACAAAACTGCGTAAGTAATTCACGCACAACAAAGGTCACTCCCCTCTCTCGGCCGTGCTCCTTGGGTGGAATCACTCAGGCATACATAATACACTTTCAGACCCCCAACCATTGCTCCAACATAAACTCCTCAATATTCCATACAACAACATGCACTACTCACTCTGGACCGAATCCATTCACGTGTAGAATCCTCATCTGTTTCACAATCGTTGACTTTCCTGATTCCCCAGCACCTTGGAATAGAAACAATGGAAGCTCATTAGAAAAAACGACAACAACTGAGCAGCAGCAGTCTCCTCGTCGCTCTAGATTCCCACAACTTGCAAAGTTTTCCCGTCATTAAACCACGAATTTGAATCACCACGCACATACTTACCTAATAACAACAACCTATGCGTTCCCCTGTACAACAATTTGTCTTTGGCGAGCTGTCTTTCTATCCGTTTGTTAGCTTCTTTTCTCAGTTTGTCATCTTCGTCGTCTCTGCTTTGCCGAAAGCAACCCATGCTGTCAACAACGGTCGCTATTTTTGCCAGTTTGAAGCAATAACCCAGCCACCAGCGACGATATCCCACATCCACACGAATAAAATAGCAAATCTTTCCGCCGGCTCCAGCCCGTTTGTTGGGCTATAGGGCGCAGAAAGGCTGCCCTTTGGTGAAATTCAGCGGAGAAAGCATGAAGTCGGGTCGGGTGTTGGTGCCGACATGAGAGACAGAAGAGACACAAGTCGTTCGTCGAGGAGCTGCTGCTGCTGCTGCTGCAGGGCGGGGTTAGCGCGGCGGCATGCCGGGATCAGGGCTGCCGAATGTTTTTTGGGGTTAGTACCGCATTTTTTTTTTTTAAAGGTACAAACCACACCGAAAGGTACCGAATTTGGAATTTTTTTAAACCAGTCAAAACGACTTTAAAACACACACACACATTATATAATATATATATATATATATATATATATATATATATATATATATAATATAAACAAATAACTGTCTTTCGGTCAAAATGGACGCTAGGCACGGTCACTGTTTATATAATATAAATATTTTTCTTCTGCCAGACAGTGGCCGTTGCATTTTTGCTCCATTTGTAGACTGAAAGGATATAGTTTCATCGCCCAGCTTCTGAGCTAGTCATGGCGTGACACTGTGATCTGCTGATTTCATTTGGAATGTTTTTTTACTGTGACCAACATGATTAATTGTAAATGACTCATACAGCATGTTGAAAAGGGTGGAGACAAGCATGCTCTGTGCAGAATGGCAATGATTGCTTTAGAGGTCCCGGGTATTTAGCATCTTTCGATACATTTTGAGTACCTGGATATTTTCTCTAGAAATGCTGGTGTGTTGAGAAACGAACAAGCAGATAGACTGGCCGGTTCTGCACCCCTGTGTGGTGAGTTGGTGTATTATAAGCAAATGTGACAGTCCTTTGGGAGAGCGTGAACAGTGCAGAGACACAAATAGATTATTATGGTCTGACGAGACTGGCGCTGCGAGGAGTTACCATGGGATCTGTCTGACGCTCAACACTCAAGGGAAAGGTGAGACGGATGTACAATCAGACAGTGACTGGTACCATCGGAATAGGAACTCTTCGCTTGCTGCTGAAGATGGGGACGGAAGGTTTATGGGAGTGTCCCACATGATTTAACATAATTAATTAGAATCGAAATCTTTCATCATTACATCAATACTGTATGCCTGGAGAGATAATCTTCTATCTCAGTGTATTTATGAGAAAAGGGAAAATAGAACTTGTTGTGACCACTGAAAAGATCTGTGGAAGGAGGGATAGAGGAAGACAACGAGAAAAGATTCTTGACAGTCTTGTTACATGGCATGGAGATGTGTCTGCACACGAACTGATACATGCTGCAGGAGATCGCAGATTGTGGAGAGGCATGATCGCCTACGCCAGTTGGCAAGGTACCTGATGACGATGATGATTTATTTTTGAAGTTTTCAAAAAAGAGCGTTTTTTTTTAAATCTCAATATCGTTAACCAGATTGAAAACGCTTTCTGTAAGTATAGAACTTAAGAGACGCTCAAAGTCTACGAATAAATTTGCAAACTTAAGGAAAGCGATTTTCACCTCCGCATTTTTATTCTGAAACTGTAAACCAAAATTTCACTTTGTTTGTTTTAAGCATTAGGTAGTTGATCTTGCTCTGTTAGTTTCCTCCGTTTTTAATTTATTCATTCATGTTTTTGTTTAAAAGGATGGGAAATTTAAGGACCAATTGCATTACTGATGTTGGTTTTCGTTCAGTAACACACGCACTGGACCCATCGTAAAATGCCACAAGTTAAAATATCGACGCAACATTTCTTAAAAGTACCGAAACATTGGGCGTGGTACTAAAGGTAGTTTTCATAGGTAAGGGTCATCATTATCAATCAGCAAGTTCTTTGCAGAACGTCGCTCTCTTCACGGCACGCCTTAAAGTATCCTTTTCCCTAGCCAGCTAACCAACCCGAAATGCTTTCATTTCCAACGCATCTTTAATGTTTTGTATCCTTCGCGAATTTAACCCCGTTCCCCGTCTTTCACTAATTGCACCCTCCAATATCGTCTTTTCCAAGCCACCATGACGTTTCATGTGGCCTAAATGCTTCAACTTTCGAGTCAGGTTGCTGTTTATGAGCCAGTTCTCCTAGATGTTTAACTCGTGTAGAATGTTGATGTTTTTCCTTTTCTTCATCCATGGTGTTCTGAGAATTGTTCTGTAACATTTTAATTCAAAAGCTCTAATCTTTTTCTTCAGTGATTGAGTGAGAATACAGGACTCACAACCATATATTGCCACAGGGAGAATGCATGATCTCAAGATTTTTACTTAAACTAATTTATAGGTGCTTTGTCATAGGTTCTTCGTGCTGTTCAATCTCTGCATTGCCAATGAAAGTCTTCTTCTGACTTCTTTAGAGCAGTCGCCACTGTTGTTCACTAAAGAACTAGTGGTATTGGAAATCTGCGACATGTTGGCGTGCTGAATTTACCGAGGAGATTTTTTTAATATCAAATTTAAAAAACGTCACTTCTTCGCTGTGCTTTTTGACGGCCTTAATTTTTTTTTAAACCTTGTACACTATTAGAAAGGAGAACTGTGTCATCTGTATATCTGAGTAAGGGTCAAAAAGTACCAAATGTGTACTAAAGTACCAAATGTGTACTAAAGTACCAACTTCGGCAGCCCTGGCCGGGATCACCTTCCAGGGCAAGAAACACGGACGTCACACGCGCAAACCGCTGACGTTCTTCTGCAAGCCTCGCCTCTCCACTTCCCCACCGTCTCTTTTAGTCGGCTGGCGCCGGCGATCATGTGTCTGCAACTCGGACTTTTGAACGTAATAGTACTAATTTAAACAGCAATATCTTGTTCAACCAATTCGGATCTATAACTGGGATGTATAAAGGTCTTTTTTTTCAGTAGTGGATATTTATTCTCTGTGGCTACATACGGATGTGAGTCATGGACTATCTCTCAGTCCTTGAGAAAGAGAATAGGGGCTTTTGAGCTGAAATGTTATAGAAAGATTCTCAGAATATCTTGGACAAAGAAGATGAGAAATGTTGATATCTTAAAAGATCTGAACATCAAGAAAGATTGGCTAATAAACAGCATCCTTTCTCGAAAGCTGAAATATTTTGGTCATATCAAGCGCCACGACGGATTGGAAAAAATTATAGCAGAAGGCATGGTACAAGGAAGAGGGTCAGGGGCCGACTGACACGAAGATGGGCACAGGATATGGGTGACTCCTTGAATGTGAAAATGCATGAGGCGGGAGAACTGGCGAGAGACCGAGTTTCTTTCACGCAGACTGTTATGAGAGCGACGTTCTGCAAAGGACCTGCTACATGATGATGATGATGGGTATTTATTCATTCTTTCTTTATCCTGTTGTGTCATTTTATGTCTTATAGGACTTGTGGTCTCCATTCCGCTCTATCAGGTGCAGTCAGTTCTATAATATATATACATGCCTATCAGTTATGTTTCGTTCTTCTTCTTCTTCTGCTTCTGCTTCTGCTGCTGCTTCTGCTGCTGCTTCTGCTGCTTCTTCTTCTCCTTCTCCTTCTTCTTCTTCTTCTTCTTCTTTTTCTTCTTCTTCTTCTTCTTCTTCTTCTTCTTCTTCTTTTTGACGTTCACCAGCTGTAAACTCTGACGTAAAGTTCTGGTTGTTCATCCAATTTTGGACTGGTGACCTATTCCAGAACTTGAGTGTTGCGTGTGCATCCGTTTTACAGATATGTTTGTATGCAGACTGCTGGTTCCTTGTCTCTCAGGCAGAGGCACTCCGACTTCGAAGGAAGCTCCCAATTAGTCAACTCTTACGATATGTATATGTGTAGGCAGTGGGTCTATTCCCCCCCCCCCCCATAATAGGGCCCTGGAACCCACACAGGGAGTTTGGTTATTAAATATCGCATAACTGATGTATCAACTGTACAAGATATAAAAGTTAGTTGTGTATTCTGATCAACACATTGCAGGGCTAACTCCAGCAGAATTTCCTGTTGTGGTTTTTCTAGGTTAATTATTCGTTCACTAGTTTGCCATTGCTTCCGGGACGGTCGACTCTACATCCACTGTCAAAACCAACGTTAGAAGGTCTGTTGCCAAATCGTCTGCAGCTGGGATTGGACCTGGTATTACGAGAGCGTGCGGTGTCCGTGGTTAAGGCGTTGCGAGTCTGACTCGTAATCCAACGTACCACGATCGAAACCTGCGTAGGCTGCGTGGATTTTTATCGTGGTGTGGGGCGTCGCAGGTCGACTCAGCCTCAAATGGGTACCAGGATGGGCTGTCCTGGGGAAGTAAAGACGGCCGGCGTAATGCTGACCACATTACCCACCGAGTGCCGATTGGTCTGTAAAAATATGGGTGCTCTTCCCATATGCCCTATGCGCCTAAGGGCGTGTAAAGGGATCTTTTCTTTTTTTTTAAATTACTAGAGCGTTCGCAGTGCCTTAACCACAGACTTTAGTCTGCGAGCTTGTGTCCACACGAATGTGTGTGTGTGTGTGTGTTTTTTTTTTTTTACGCCTGATCGTGGAATGACTTGAAAATTGGTTTAGATAACGTTTGTATAAAACTTCTTCTTTTCTTCTTCTTCTTCTTCTTCTTCTTCTTCTTCTGCTTCTTCTTCTTCTTCTATTATTATTATTATTGCCCCTCCTCCTGTAGTCCTTTTCAGCTCCAGGTTTTGACGAGCCACTGGGTGCGAGCCACACTAATGCTGCTATTTACGACCTCATAAATTCCATCGATCCATCGGTTGCCTGGTCGAGATCTAGTACTGCTTCTGTTAGGTCTAAGTGACAAGGTTCTCTTTTGTTTACTATCGGGTAGAACTCTTGACACAGGTCCAAACCATTTGATTTCTTGTCTCTTGGTGTAGTTTGGACCGAAACGGGCTACTGCTTGCTATATATGCTTTCGGATTCAAATCCAATGACGTACGGTGATGTATATATTTCTTGTCTAATGATGTA